CTTTGTTCATTATCCCAGTACGAAGTTAATGACACTGCGATAAAATATTTAACCTGCAATACAAGGCTCTTTCAAGAGAAAGAATACGAAGCACTGTATTAAGGGACTTGAGATTGAGAAGAGTTTATCTTTGTATGATTATTTTAAAATAAGAAAATGATTAAAAAAACGAAGTGTTTTTGTGATAAAAGTAACGCGTGTACTGTATAAAAGTATCGTTGTTCGATTTTTAATTATAGATGAGTTATATGGTGGCTGATAAAAGTTTAAAAATGGAAATTATTAAGATAAACAAAAACCCCTTTTGCGCAAAAAGAAAAAAAAGAAAAAAAAATAATTTACACAAATACGTAATTTAATTTGGAAGAACAACCATATGCGTACTTATTAAAGTGCTTATTTCGGACTGATATGAGTGTTTGCTTTCTGTATTCTTTAATAATTACAGTCGTTTATAAATAAAAACATCTCAAAAGTTTTAAATAAAAAGAAATTATTATTAAAAAGTAATTGAAAAAACCCGATTGCGCTAAAAACTGAAAGGTGAAATTTCAGTACAATAAAATAATAGTCAGTGGTTTTTAACTTGCAAAATGATTTATTCGAATATATAATATAATATCACACACACTCAACATAGCCCCACACTAGGGAAACCCTGTGTCGCGGGTGCCATGGACACACAACATAGACTCACGAGAGAATTAAATGTAGACCATACAAATATTTCTCTCGGCCCGGGAATCGAACCTGGGACCCCTACGTGGCAGTGGTATCCATTCGGCTACGGAGGCAGTTAATGATGAATAAAAACACAAACGTGTTAGTTTAAACTTGTAAAATAGAAAAGCTGCCGCTGTTTTAACCAGAAGTTATAGACTGTCAAACGAAAACAACAACAACCCTCTAAAATATAACCTCTTGCCGAAAATGTGCAATTTCAAAAAGGCATATTTTTTTTGGCATCTATGGTAAACGGCAAAAACATTAAAACACAGCACAAAGATAAACCTCGCAACCTTATTTTTACATCACTTGTTAACATTTAGTTGACTAATTGGGGTCAATGTGAAAATTCGCAGTTAAAAAACACACCACCGGAGGGGTAAATGAGGGATGCGGTGGGGTATAAAGAGGGGTTCGAAGAGTGAGGAGCGCATCTGCTAATACGTTGACGCATTCTTGCGGCTTCGGTAGAGTGCGCCCAGTTGCAAAAACTCATTTGATGGTTAACTTAAATTTTAGTTAGTTAAGTAATTAGGCGGTTAGGTTAAAAATTAATTGCATTAACAAAATTTACAACCGTCACGGTTCTTGCGATGTATTTTTGTTTTAAATGTAATTTAAGTACAAATTGAGTACGACGTAACTTGTACAATTATTATTTAAAAAAAACCGACCTCGTCAGGGCGTGGAATTCTGTTTGCCAAATTTTATTAAAATCGGTTACCGGAAAGTGCGCGAAACCGTATTGATTCCCTATAGTCCATTTTTTAGGTACTTAACTAAATGTAAACAATCTTTAAATACATTTTTATTGAAACATATGCTTTACAAATCAATAGGTACAAAAATAGGCATGCAATTTCATATGAAGCTAAGTATTTGTATTTTGTATTTGAAGGTGAGTAAAAATCATTTTATAAATGTGTATTTCATTAAATAGACATCTCAAGATTGTTTACATTTAGTTAAGTACCTAAACAAATGGACTATAGTTTGCCACCCTTAGAGGTAGAATATTTTGTTCAAATTTAAATGGGACCAACACTGAGGTACCCTATTTCCAACAAAAAAGAATCATCAAAATCGGTTCACAAATCCGGAGTAATCGTATAACATACATAAAAAATTACAGTCTAATTGAGAACCTCGTCCTTTTTTGAAGCCGGTCAATAATATAAATATATCTCTTGCTGGATTGAGAAATTTAGTTGTAAACGAGTATGATATGCGGCAAGAAATGTTAATATCCGTATGTAGTAATTATTATTAACATTTTGATTGACACTAGTAGGATGTACTCTCTATAAATACTGGTGTTATAAAAAAGTAGGGGTTATTTCAGTTAATACTATAGTAGTCACAAGATCACTTGCTGCTCGTAGTGATAAAAGGCTACCTAGATCCTGAATAAGTTAGCTTAATAATAATACTTAAGGTAGAACACTGTAAGTGTTGCGCAGTGACCAGTTTAATAACAATGTTGTTTATATTTCTCAAAACTTTTTCATACTGTATTCGCTTGTGATGTAAAATTATAATGTCTATATCAGCAAAAGATTTAGCACAGATGTTCGTTTTTGTACTAAATCGAGAGATTTCGAGTTAATCACCATCATTACCCACTGTATGTCACACTGCTGGGTACGGGTCTAAGGAGAGCGTGCAGGCTATGGTCGTAAGAGTGCAGTACCACTTATTAATATGTTTTAATTGATTACCTTTTAATTAATAAATTTCATTTAGTTAAACATCATGTTGTTAAAATAAATTTGCA